TCATAGCTCAGACACGGGCCAGGCATCAGGCTTGCTTCCTCCTTATTTTTATATATTAGATATCCATCAATTATTATGGTGATGACAAAGATTTGCCGCGCTGGTGGAAACAACAGGAGACCGTGCTACCGCGACTGTGAGTGGCTCGGACGGTGTTTAGTGTCCAGCAGCAGCGAGTGCTGGAAGGGTTCCATGTTAAAACGCACGCAAAGCTTGCCGCAAAACCCAGCAAGTAATTACCATGATGAATGCCCCAGGGGAAATAGAATATTCGCAGGGTTTCGGTTCATTTTTGTGAAGCGCTCCTGCTCAAGGATATTGTGAGTGCACACAAATAAAAGTAGACCCTTAACCCCGAATGATGTATTACTCTTACCTTTATGAGCAAAAATGACGGTTGTTTCCACTGTTATAAGAAAAAAATGCAAGTGATCGTGCTGGCGACTCCATGTCCTGCAAAGCGCGCTTTAGCTTCTTTGCACAAATGATTGGATACGCGCCTAATAGCACACATGTATCTAGGTTAACCATTTAAACTAACATTGTTTTTTTAAGCATTTTATATAGGCCTATAGATTTTATTTTAGTCAAGTGGTGATGATTTGAGAAGCTAAATTGATCAAACATAGGCTATGATTAACTCACTGTCTGCCACTGGCCGCTTGGTCGTTACTTAAAAAAAACAAAAACTTGAATTTAACAACACTTTTTTTTTTTTTAAGAAATTAATACTTTAATCCAGCAAGAGTAAAGCCATTTATGATGTTACCAAAGATTTCTATTATATAAAAAGATTCAAATAAATGCTGTTATTTTGGAATGTCTATCCAGCAAAAAATGCATCTCAGTTTCCACAAAAATATGAAGCAGCAGAATTTCAGCAAAAATTCAACATTGACAATTAAAAGAAATGTTTCTTGAGCAGCAAATCAGCATATTAGAATGATTTCTGAAGGATCATGTGACACTGAAGACTGGAGTAATGGCTGCTGAAAATTCAGCTTTGCATCACAGGAAACAATTACATTTTATAATATATTCACACAGAAAACAAGTCATTTTAAATGGAAATAATAGTTCACAATATTACTGTTTTATGGTATTTTTGATCAAATAAATGTAGCCTTGGTGAGCAAAAGAGACTTTTGACCCCAAAAACCTTTTGAACGTGAACAGTAGTGTAAAATAGAAATATTTATGATGAAATACTTAATTTGTTTTGTAGACAAATATAAATCTGTACATTTCTTTACAAAATTATCATCTTGATATATTATTATGTTTACAGATAATTATAAACTCAAGTATCTTCTTTTGACTTTTTTTTTTTTTTTTTTAAACCTACCTATATAAAACATTTACTATGAGCACTGGCCACGCACAGCATTCTAACATCTTGAATATCTAAATCTCTCAACATCAAAAGAGGTAAACTACCATACTTTTTTGCCAGGGGAACCAAATCCCTTCACACAAAAAAAGACCCCCGGGGTATGAACCTTAGTGAAGTAAAGAAAGGTAGCTTCAGGTAACGCCTGCAGAAACATACATCTAAATAACGAAGCCAGAAAAAAAGAACGGGAAAAAGTAGATCTGTTCTTTTCTTTGTTAGTCTCGAGAATCAGGAGACTATTGCTTCCTGGCTAATATACTACAGATAGTACGCCTGAGGCGTGCAGAACCCACAGAGCTCTGTAATTAAAAGAGGGATTTGACCCCATGTCTCTTTCAGCTCCAACTGGACCCATGGTGTCATGAGATAAAGGATAAATCTAAATGAGGCCAAAAAAGCGATCTGTTTGTTCTTGACAAGTGCTTGGGAAAAGAAACAAACTAAAGTGTCAACAAAATCAGCTTCCGTAATCAATTAAAGTCCATTACAAATCACTAAAACTATAAAGTAAAGAAATTCCATAGGGGAATTTATTTTTCACTGAATCAGAAGTTTGCAAGCCCGAAAATTTTAAAGGTTCACAATTCTCTCTTATGTTTATTGCCAAATATGATAATAAATATAAAATAATGTATTTCCTTGACTGAGACAAATGAGTCCTTAGAGCAACTAACGACCATTTACCATTTCAAACAAATGACTGAAAACAACTGAGCTGTAAAAAAAAAAAAAAAAAAAAAAAAAAAAAAAAAAAAAAAAAAAAAAAAAAAAAAAAAAAAAAAAAACCAAAAAAAAAAAAAAAAAAAAAAAAAAAAAAAAAAAAAAAAAAAAAAAAAAAAAAAAAAAAAAAAAAAAAACTATAATAAATAGCAAAAGTCCAAAAAACAAAATAACTCCAGAACAAAGAAAAACACCAAACAAAATAACAAAATACAAAATAAAAACAAAATACAAGACAAAAACAACTAAAATTAGATACAAAACTAAATCAAAAAGAACTCCAAAAAACACAAAACAAAAAAAGAACTTCAAAACAAAATGCCAAAAAAAACAAAACATAAAACAAAAAAACACAAAACAAAAACCAGTAAACTATACAACAACAGAACTCAAAAACACAAAAACAAACAAAAATAGCTTTGAAACAAAATAACAAAACAAAAAACACACAACAAAACAAAACCACAAACAAAGCATAAAATAAAAAATAAAATAGAACACCACAAAACAAAGTAAACAAAACAGAAGAGAGAAAAAAAAACACAAAAAGAAAAAAAAAACAAGTCACAAAAGTTAACTAAACTATAAGGGTCACATGAAATAAAATACATAAATGGGACACAGTATCAAGGTTTAAATACACTGACAAATTATGGTGGCCCCAGTCATGCTAGAGATCTTTCCCTCAAACCCCTGTCAGTGTCTCTATTGAGTTCTGGAAAATTAAATCCAATAAAACGCTTGGGCCCATTCAGATGTCACTCAATCTCTCTCCTCCTCCTGTTCATTTTTATAAGTCCCTCATGTGTATTTGTGCATGTGGTACATTCAAAGGCTAAACAACCAGCAAGCCGCTACAACAAGAGTAAAAAAAAAAAAAAAAAAAAAACGAGTGTGAGCCTCTAGAAGTGTCAAGAACTTGTGTACAACTGTGCACAGGAGTGAGAGAACACTAGGATAATGAAAACATCTTGTTCAAGACAACATCCAAAGTGTGAAAAGGCATGAAAACACACACGCACACTCCACTCAAACTCAATCTCCTCTCTGCTATTGAAAAGCGCTTCTCTTTTAACATGCTAAAGAGGCTGTAGAGGTAATCCTAACAGAGCTCTCTAGGCTGAACCTGCGCATGCCCAGGGGCTCTGGCCAATCGTTTGCGCTGCGTAAAACTGTACTAACAGTTGGGCAGAGGGGGCAGCTATTCAGGATGGGGGGCTCATTCACCTCTTATTCATGTGGGGGGTATCGCTATTCAACTGCTAATGTAATGACATCTTCATTTCCACGCACACACAGAAGGCAGTGGATGGCCCACTCATCTGCGTGTGTGCGTGCGTGTGTGTGTGTGTGTGCACATGCGTATAAGGGAATGTAAAAGAGTGAATGGGGGGATGGAAAGGTAGAGGCAACAGAGCAGGTACAGACGTGGTTCAGGAACTGGTTATGAAAATAATTATTTACATTTATTCATCCAGCAGGCACGTTTATTCAAAGCAATTAAGTATACAGGTTAAGCTGGACAAAAACGTCTGGAACATAATAAAACAAAAGATTAAAAGCGATTAAAACAAAAACTTCTTTAAATTTAAATTAAATGCTTATGCTTAAACCACTTTCTGTAAGTGTGTGAAACATTGCATTAACTATTTTCTGTAAGAAATGCATTACTATGACACTCCTGACTCATTTGTAAGCCCACACACAATCAGAATTTTTTTGTTTTTTTACTGATTTAGGGGGATTTAATCTCGGTAAATTTTTAGGGGGATTTAATCACAGCAAAATATGTTTAAAAGAGATGAAAATACTATTACTATTAGCTAAAAAGGCATTAATGCCACATTGTTTAAAGATGTAATCATATTCAAAGGTAAAGTGTGCAATTGTTTTGCACCATTAACGATAGCAAACAGAACCACAACAAACTTTTTCAGACTAGTTTCACACCTCCCCCATCTGCCATTATTCAAGTTAAATAGGTATTCTACCTACAAACTCACAACATTGGTTGAAACAATGCTGTTATGGACCATTAAATTGAAATAGAAAAAGTGAAAAACAAATAAATAAATAACAACAATTAATTCTGAAGTTTTGCTCTTTTTAAATG